TGCAAATATTGTAAGAGAGTGGCGTCGTGAACAAGAAGAACCAGATGAAGCAGTGGCGGAAGAAGCTGATAATGATAGGCAGTTAGCTAATCAATTCCAACATGAATTAGATGCACTAAAATTTTACACTTGCACTAACTGTCATCGCCAACTCAAACCAATCACCGATTTGTTCGCGTTGTCGTTCAAATGCAACTAAATTCACGGCGTTAAATAATATGGATGTGTCAAGTGTCCCGAACGAATTAACTGACCCGACGATTGTAGAACAAATAAATGTTGATTCCACGAGTACATCCCGGCTGTTGTGGACATTGGATCTTCAGAATATGGCTTAGGTTTGTCCTACGTAGGCCTATCAAGAGTTAAGACTTTTGAAGGCCTGCTTCTGGATCCACCATTTTCACTAGACCGATTGATGTCAATTAACAGACACGGATCTTGGGCAAAGAAGAAAGAAGCTCTTGACCGTTTAAACGAAATGTCAAATACACATGTCTAATAACCTTTTATCAATTCTTATTCTTATTCTTAACTAAATAAATGAACTATCAGATAAATTTGTCATTCTTTAGTACTTAAATAATATCGGACAAACAAACGGTGAATCTGCTGAAAGGGAACATATTGTAGGTTGTAAGCTGCTTTAGCCATTGAGCCATAGACCATTGAAATGCTTCGCTCATTTATGCGTCTAAAGTGTAACGACAGACCACCCTAGTTATTGTTCGGCTACACAACAGGAAAGGGTTCACTTAGTAAAAATATTAAACTTGAAAAGTTTGTCTTGATCACACCACACTTGGTCAGTGGCCAATTTCAAATTGACGTACTAATTGTACTTCAAAATGTACTTGATAGAGGGCCAAGGATGGTTGTAAGTTATTAAGGATAAGGTATAGGGATCGATGCTTGATTGAACCATAGATTAAGCATACTCAATTAGGGAGTATGATTGAACAAACTACACAATTCACTCAACGTAAAGTAGATAAACAATTAGGTACACACTTTTTATTTCATTATATTACAATACGTAACGGTACTATTGTTATTATATCAGTTATTTATACAACAATTGACTATGCAGTCAATGACAATGAATGAGTCAATCAAATGTTTATACAACATGTCGCCAATGAATACAGTCCTTTATTACATTTAGGCGGTTGTGGGGAAGGGTAATTCATCATCTCATTGGTGTTTTAGTTGCCAATTTAATTTATATGTATTTGCCATATCCAAGACGAAGAATCGCTTTCTATAGGACTTCAAGCTTAATATTTAATTTACATTTTTAGACAATTTTTGGAAGTTACATTTTTAGGCAAAGTTATATAAAATACTCTTTCAAATTAAATGTTCTATGGTTTTAGCAATCCTTTAACTTGTAACTTCAAATGTAACAATTTAAAATACTATGGTTTTATACTAGCCTAATAGGATAGCGTTGGCGAGTTCGAGAGTGTGCTCGGTGCGCTCGTCTTCTCTCGCCTTGACTCGGGTCGCCTCTCCTCGCCTCGCCTCGCCACGTGCTCGCCGGCGCTCCGTCAGTCAAAGCAAAGGACCCGAGACTGAGTGGCGAGCGCTACTTCCACATCGAAGTTTGCCTCAATTTCCACTGCGAGACAAAGCGAGAGTGTACACGTTTACCTCCCATAAGCTCTCGCCCGAATTACTCGGCGAACGTCTCGACGAGAGTGTACTAGGGGCTCAGTTTTGATGTTTGTGTACTTGATTGTAGAATTTGTTTTGATGAGGAGAATAGTCTTTGCAGTGACGTTAAGATGAAATAAGATCACATATTAATGTTAAAATGCCGCGGCCGATTCGGACGGGAGTAGAACGGGGGTTAGGTGTCATCAAGGGAGCCTATGCGGGAGGCGGGAGGCACAATTTTTATTTCAGTTGCAGTTTTTGAATACGGACAAAATAAGAGTTTAAAAATTAGAAATAAAAAAAATATTATAAAACTAAAAATATTTAAAATTAGTTTTTTAATTATAAAATTAAAATGTTATAACCTAACCTAACTTACCAAACTTGCTGATAAAGAAAAAATTGAATGAAGGTTTACTTATCAAAAAAATAGTTCTGTTCATAAAACAAAACTATAAATGCCTCAAATTCAATTTAAAAATTTTTTAATTATAAAATTAAACTGTCATAACCTAATCAAACTAACCAAACTTGCTGATAATGCAAAAATCTTAGATAAAAAGTTTATGGCACCGATATTTCGAACCTGGTACCTTTAGATTCTCAGCCCAGCACTGTATCCATTACACAACCGAGGCAGATAGCTACAAGCCGTATCGTTGCGGTAATGGTGTTCCCTCAGCCAATAGAATGCTCTCATTTTGACCATATTAAAAATACTGCAGCTGAAATAAAAATTCAGCAGGCGGCAGCTCATGGTATCGTGAAACACGAGACATTCCCGACAGGAACAACCCCCACCACCATGCCGTAACGAAAACTCCGAATCTTACCGATAATTGCCGAACTGTTCGCGGCAAAAATTGTTTCCTAATGGTGACTCTATCACTGTTGACTGTTGCTGTCGCGTCGGGGATGCGGAATACTATCCCCCGGAAAACTACCCCCCAGGTGAAACGTGACGTCACAAAATCTGCTAACTAACCAATATGGAAGCCGTGTCCGCGACTGGAATACTACCCCCCCTAGACAAATCATGCTATGTAATTTTAATTTTAATTCGAGTAATTCCGTTGGATAATAGAAAAGGCATGTGGTGAATATAAAACCGATTTTAGAAATGTTACAGCAAGTTTGGTTGGTTAGGTTAGGTTAGATTAGAACTGTTTGACAACTAAATTTGAGTGTCCGTGACTGGAAAACTGCCCCCCCGGTCTTTGACGTCAATATGACGTAGGGACCTGCTTGGGGGGGGGGGTAGTTTTCCGGGGGACAGTCTTCCGGCGACCCCTGTCGTCGTTGCTATCGTCAAAACGTTTGTAGGTTAAGAGTCTTCATCAGTGGAAGCCATGTTGGGTTTTTGCTCCATAAGAACAATGTTAAATTTGGGTCCCAATATCTCATCAGCAAATCGTTATATAATTATGGATAAGGAGTTAAATTAAAGGAATTGCAGTCCTCTAGAGACTAACGTTTTTAGTTTTACCAGTGTTTTTTATTAAAGTAGGCTCGGTGATTGGTTTGGTACACCGGACTCCGGAGACGGAAATACGCGTTCGGCGTTCCGATCCGCTGTCCCGTTTCTATAGCTATATACAGTCGACAAAAGAAGCGTTCGGCACGCACGACACAGTGGTGGGGGTGTTCCTGTTGGGAAGGTCTCGTGACTGAGACTGAGACTGACACGAGACGAGTGGGATGCCGGGAAAAGAGTAGTATGATCAGGTCGTGTTCTGTGTTCTGTTCTGATTTGTGTTCTGTGTTGGTTGAGGGTGGCGTGATGATCGGACCACGGCAAGGCAACTTTTATTCGGTCAAACATTGCCACCATGATAATAACATTTTACAGTGTTTATACTCATCAGAGTGTACTATATGAAATACACACTACAGTGGTTTACATTAAATACATTACCTACTGTGTTAAATGAGCTATCTGAAATATACACAGACTTTTTGGGTCGTTTACCTTGATTTACTATTTACACTTTTATTGACAGAAAACCCGAATTATACTTTCTAAATATTTAAAAAAGTGTTGTTAATGAACATTAAGGAAAGCAGAACACTTCTACCACACTTGAAGTAACTAGTTGAATATTTCACTCAACAATTTGTGTTTAATCTACATTGGGTAAACCAGAGACAGTGACAAACTAAATACCAGATATCGAGATATCACACAAAACCTTGACTTAGAGAAAGGGGTATAACATCTGTAACAGAAGTTCAAGGCCAGCACCAAAGATATGAATATTTTTATCATTAGTAAATTTTACAATTTGTGGCTCCCTGCCAAGAGCAAAAACCATTAGATATATCTTGGATTTGTATACAACTATCTATAGTGGAATAAAATTAATCTTTTACTTATTTTCAACTTATCTTACGAACTAAATCTTTTATAAATCTATCTTAATCTTTATCTTATAAATAACATTATACATTTTTTTTAAATAATAACCTATGTCAATAGGACTGGAAAGTCTTAGTCTCTTATTTTGTATCCAGAAATCTAACACATACTTTCTCCCATTAGCTTGTCAACAACCCTCATCATTCCATTCAGTGGGAGTGGGAGTAACTAATGGAGCTAATCACAAAGCTATAACTTTTGAACCATAGCTTGTACAGCAATAGGGGTTGTACACTTTAGTTTAGGGTAAAAAAAAAAAAAAAACTATAGCATACCAAATTTAATCAATACCTTTCTGGCTTTTTTTTTTGACATCCGATTTCCCGTTATTTTATAGCGATGGGAAAATCACATAGGTTTCAATAACCTTTGAACCTTAATTTTTACAGCAATAAGGGTTGTACGGTAACATTTTATTACAAATTAAAAGTGCTATAAGATACTAAATTTTAATCAAATCGTTTGGGCAGTTTGTTTAAAAATGAGATTTTCCCGTTATTTTATGGGGTTTTATGAGAAAATCACAATAAAAATAAAAATAAACTAAACGCCTAGATAATATAACGTAGATTTAACCCACCTACCAAATCTCACCAAAATCGTACACACACACACACACAGACATCGAGACATCACTTTTGTTTTCGATGATGATTTTTAATGTAATGGGAAGTTTATTAAATGTTTTATTTTGATATGTTTGTGGCTTGAAAAAAGATTGACAACTTTATAAAGATACAAAACTAGCCTAAATATTAAGTATCTCAGAATGAAAGTGAATTTTTTTAGAATCCTCATAACATACAGTAAGAGCCACAACCTTTGGGCCTTGAATTTAAATTCCTTCCCTTCAATTTGTAAGATAATCCTGAAGTTAGATGATGGGGTGTTGTTGCATGGAAATGTAAATGTTATTCTATTGCAGATGGCATAACCATTAACGATGTAGCAAGCTGTATCCTGGATAAAGGAGGAGACGTACCACTTGATCTTAAACAAGTTTTTCTCCTGCCTGCGTGGTACAATGAGGAAAAGTTTAGAAGGTAACTAATAGTCTAGTCACGTGTAACCAGCAACGTTTCCCCACGTATCCCATACAGCACCAAAAATAAAATTGTGTTAGTAAACTATACAATACTAACTATACTATAGTTATTTACTGGCTTGTAGAACTTTCATATTAATAAGACAAAACTAAGGATTTTCTACTCTGAAAATTGCTAAAGGGGTTTCCTAACATGGTATTTGAGAGTAATGTTGGTACTGGGACGGGTGGCGTCGTCAGCTACTAGGAGGTCACCAATTGTGTATAATTATAGGCATGCACTGTGGATGCGATACTCCCTGGTGTGGATTAACGTCCGCACGGGTGAGTACTACGACTATCCGCAGTACTATCCTGATAGTTAGACCAATTCGTACATACCAAGGAAAAATGTGGTTCGGATTCCACTATAAACTGTAGGTCCCTTTAGTCGCCATTAGCTGTATGGGCTATTAATTAACAGCTGTGTCTAAGGAACATGTCGGCCTTAGTCACTAACAAGACTACAAGATCGCGCCACTCATTATACACTCATCCTTCACTCATATTTGGGTTAAAATACGCACATAGTGGTGTCCCCATCTTAAATAATTGATATTGATAGAAAGTGACAGTGCTTTACTTGTTTGATTGAAGAGGTTAGAAGTATGCTATGACAACTAAGTACTCTAACTCTTTATGTGTGTCCAAGCTTAGTGGCTCACAGTATAGTAAACCATGGTTTGTGTGTCATGATGATTCTTCACTTTCATTTTGTCTGATTACAGAGGCTAGAATTGTTGTGACTCCAGTCGGTGGCCTATATTTGGTATTAATAAATGCACACACTGGAAAACACGTAAAATTTGTTGAATAACTAGAAAGTAAAATCCTTTATATAATTTCTAATGAACAATAAAGAATGTAAGTAACAACAAACATCTATATCATAGATAAAACATACTCGTCTATATTCACCATTACTTTAAAATAATGGCATTCATTGTTTGTAATAGATAATCCATATGTTGTCAAGATAGACTGAGGGGTATAACAATAAGTCTTCTATCAAAACTAGTACCGGTAGTACTCATTATTGTTTGGGTCTGGATAGTAGTATCATAGATAAAACATACTCCCTTAGTAGATTTCTCATCCTTATGGAACAGCTGAAGACAATTTTATTGTTAGTTCTGTACGGTTTATGTAGAGGTCGTGTTTTGTTTACAATTTGTTTCCCGTTATTACAGCCATTTAAAACCTCGTTTAACCAAATAATACGATCTAATCGTAAACAATAACTTGTCCCCTAGTTATATAACCAAACAGTAAAGCAGTGAATTAACCCTAAAATAATGGAAACAAAGTTTCATCGACACTAGCGCCTTTGTGTCACGTACATGAACTAGACACGAAAAACGTGCTTCAAAATTTACAATGGGATGAGAAGTCTACTTGTGTTGGTTAGTCTATGGTAGTATTTGAGTGGTATGATGATGCTTTTCTTACTGATTGCAGGGGACAGAAGTATTTCTATGACAACTACTTCTCACTGTTTGTGTCCAAGTTGAGTGGCTTGTTAGTTGTGTTGGCAGTCCCCAGTATACTCAAGGTGCTTGTACTGACTGGACAGTCCTCTCATCCTCTCTCAGCCTTTCGTCGCTACCTTGATACTATATCCCACATGCTGGAGTGGTACGATGGCGACCTCACAAACCCTAACTCCAGGTAAACTCATACAATATATGGTTGTTACTCTAAGCAATAATTTTCAATATAGTTTAGACGTTTATAAAAGATTATAAACAATTAATAAAGCAGATAAACATTTCTTGTCTCATTAAAATGTTATTTGAGATTTTAATCTCCAATTTATTCAAGTTAAGATTAATTATTTTGGACATTTCACTAGACCTATATTTAACCTATATTTTTATATCTTGAAGTATAAAGAGAGTTTTTATATAGGTACATTTCACATCTAAAAAGCATTTTTACACCAAAATAAAGTTTTGAACGGAGCACTGTTTGCACTATTATAGAATAAGTTTAAGCAAACAATCAATTCTTGCTTATTTTATGGCAAAGAATTAATTTAGGAATGGAATTTAATAGAAATACCCCCCCCCCCTGCAGCAAACCTGCCGACTAAGCGAATTTCCATTTGCCTGGACTGATTTTCAATTAATCTATTAAATTAACATTTATGTTTAACGAGTACCTAGGTTAGCTGATACAGGGAAACTAATAAAGTGTGTTTTTTATTAAAATATCAACAGCTTAGTATGAAATAAATAAATCTGCCAAATTCGATCAAAATATATCCATAAACAAGCCAACTACAACATTTTACAATATTCTTCATATAAGAATAACATGGGAATTTTAAATTAAAAATTTTTTGAATTTTCTCCATAACCAAACTCCGTACAAAAACACTTTGATATACTAAATTATTTGTTTTTGAAGCTCTTTTAAAAGGTCTAGAGAAAAATTGATAAATTTTGTGTTTTAAGGGTAAAACATGAGAAAAACCCATTTTTACCCCATAAAAGCCCCTGTTAAACCCCGTTCCCATGGTCTGATTATGCTGGTTCACCAACTCATTCAAGTTTATCCCGCCTTACACCTTCAAACCAAATTTTATCAAAATCGGACAAAGATTACTCAAGTTATCGTCCGGACGGACACATATACATATATAAAAATTTGAACGAATGGCGTTTTTGGCCTCTGGGGACATCAAAATGAAAAAGTAAATCGGTCCCGGGCCTAGGTCTTACCATGAGACCTACGGTAATAGCTACTTCCCTATAGGGAAATTCGCTAAAAACATATGTTGAAGGAGATATTCTGTAGAATTTTATGTCTTTATAGCTATAATAAATGTTTTCATCCTGATGTACAGTAGACTCCCTCTTATCCAGAATCCTCGGGTCAGGTCCTAAGCCAGTCCGGATAACAGTTTTGCTGGTTTAACCGACGTTCTCTACAACTCGTTAGGTTATAGTAATGTCTAGTGCACGTCAACAAGTCATGGAAATTAATCGAAAATTAACCCAAACATTTTACTTAACTTTGGGAGAGAATTGTATTTAGACATGTGTTCACTGGTGTCAAAATCTTTCCCATGAGAAAAGTCGTTTCAATACCACCAGTTTGAATGGCAGTAAACCTAAACATAAAACCTGAAATTTTAATTTCATACAAACTACTAAGAAAACCAGTTAATAATAATATAACAACCCTTATCATTCACTCATGATGTTTTTGTATTTAACTGTCCCACTTCCAGCCAATCCAGTCCGAGCAAGCTGATGTGCTGGTAAAAATTGTCCGGTTAAAGAGATATGTCACTTATGCAAGTGTAGTCTGGTTAAACCGATGTTCAGTTAAAAGGTGTCCAGATAAGAGGGACTCAACTGTAGTGTGAAGTGAAAAACAAACTAACCTAACTATAGAAAATAAACAACAATTAAAACACACTTTTTTAAATACAAGATGGTGCAGATGGATCGGGTGGTTTTGAAGTGTACTGTATGTCTGGAGGGGGGGAGCCACGTGTTCGGTGGTATTCGTCCTGTGGTGGGGGGGATGGGAAGTTCAGTTGTAGACAGCAGGCAGTCACGCTGGCTACGTGGTCCGTTGAGCATCGTGTTTTTGCAGTGGAAGAGTTTATACGCAATAACGAGTAAATTGTTGCTGTGACGCTTTCATCGGCGTTTCAACATCCCACCTTGCGGTAGTGTTCCTAAGGGAAATACGATATTGAGTTGGGTGCATAATTTCCGCAACTACTGGTTCTTGTGCTGCAAAATGGACGCCTAGACCTCGTACTGTAAGAACGCCTGAGCGTGTGATACGCGATGTGAATACGAGCCCACGTCGATCAACAAGAAGTCAAGCTCAAGCTCTTGGAAAGTCACGTTGGAGCCTTCAAAGGATTCTTAACAAAGAAAAATTCCACCCATATAAAATCATGGTGGTGCAGAAGATTCTCCAAACAGACCATCTTCAAAGGCTTCAGTTTAGCCAACGGATGTTGGAGTTATTGGAAGATGAAAACCTGACTATCATATGATGTCTGATGAGGCCCATACTTTCACATGTAGGCCGTCGACACACGGGAAGACTGTTTTCCAACTGAAATCGGCAACCAGTTGGACAAACTAGTCGCCAGCGTCCCGACCAATGTAGTTAGGTGGGACAGTGCACACGGTGCGACTACGATGCGACCAGTTGAGGACCAGTCGGCGATCAGTCGTTAAGCAACCGGACCTGCCGGTTGCTAGGTGATTTCAGTCGCCTGGTTTGAACAACTTTTCGCATATTTGTATTGCGCTTTTCAAGGATCGGGCATACCAACTGCGATAACTCTTCGTAAGTACTTTTTGGCATCCTGTTCATAGACTGAAATTTTGCGTCAGTTTCTTTTAATGCAGTGGCAGCTACAAAGAGCCTACATTTAATATTAGCGAATTTCCCTATAGGGAAGTAGCTATTACCGTAGGTGGCACGGTAAGACCTAGACCCGGGACCGGTTTACTTTTTCATTTTGATGTCCCCAGAGGCCAAAAACACTATTCGTTCAAATTTTTATATATGTATATATATATATATAGACATATATATATATATATATATATATATATATATATATATATATACGTCCGTGAACGCGATAACTTGAGTAATTTTTGTCAGATTTTGATGAAATTTGGTTTAAAGGTGTAAAGCGGGATAAACTTGAATGAGTTCGCGAACCAGCACGATCGGACCATGGGAACGGGGCTTTACGGGGGGTTTTATGGGGTAAAAATTGGTTTTTCTCACTTTTGACCCTCAAAACACAAAATTTCCCAATTTCTCTTTAGACCTTTTTAAAGAGCTTAAAAAAACAAATAACTTAGTATGTAAAAGTATTTTTGTTCGATTATTAGTAACGGAGAAAATTAAAAAAATTGTAAATTTAAAATTCCCATGTTATTCTTATGGAGAATATTGTCAAATGTTGTAGTTTGCTTGTTTATGAATATATTTTGATAAAACTTGGCAAATTTATTTATTTTGTACTAAGCTATCAATATTTTACTCAAAAACACACTTTATTAGTTTCCTTGTAGCAGCAAACCTAGGTACTCGTTAAACCTAATGTTATTAAAATATATTTAACTGAAAATCAATTCAGACAAATGGAAATTCGCTTAGTCGGCAGGTTTGCTGCGGCGGGGGTATTTGTTTTAACATAACGATGTACCCAATACCTTCTACGTTCTTGATTGTCTATAAAACACCAGGGCTTCTTAATCACTACCACTCATTTCAAACACCATACACAGTACACAGTATCGTTATAACAAAATTAGAGCTGATTTACTGTCTCAACTCAACTACAGTCGCGCCCGTGTGCAGATTTAACCAACGCAACTGCAATCGTAATCGCGTCACAAAAAAGTTGGTTCAACTTTAGTTGCGTTTCAGTCTTCCCGTGTGTCGACCGCCTAAGGGCTACGTCAACAAGCAAAATTACCATTACTGGGCCGTCACTAACCCAAGAGACCTACACCAACGGCCTCTCCATAGTGACTAAGTGACGGTTTGGTGTGGGGTTTCTAAGGTAGGGATAATTGGGCCTTACTTTTTTAAAAATGAAAGGGAGCAGGCGGTTACTGTTAAATTGCAGGGTTATGTGAACATGATTGAAGAATTTCTTCTCCCAAAACTTGAAGAGAACAATTACGACATTGACAAAATGTGGTCCAACAAGACGGGGCAACTGCATGCCGCTAGGATATCAATGCAAGCTGTACACGCTCTGTGTTCCCTAGCCGTTTGATTTCCCATTGATTTCCATTGGCCATTGGCACCCTCGCTCACCGGACCTCACGGTATGTGACTTTTTCTAATGGGGCTATTTAAAAGCAAGGGTCTACATTAACAAACCACGGACCATTGAACCACGGAATTGTGTTGAAGGGTGTAATTCACAATGAAATCACATCAATTCCTGGTGATGTGCTTGAGCGGGCAATGCGGAACCTTAAGGACCGACTCCAAGAATGTGTCACTAGAGAAGGAGGGCATTTGATGGATGTAATTTTTTTCAAACTAACTTTACTCATTTTTTGTTAATAAACTTGTTACTACACATTTTGCACTTTTTTCAATCCAATACCTTTAAAATTGACAGTATGACAAGTATTTAAAACCATCCGATCCATCTGTGCCACCCTGTATTATTGTTAAGCAATTCTATCAGTTTTTAAAATTTACGTAAATAAAACTAATCATTGAATAAGCTATGCACTATCTATTGTCAGAAACGCATCGTTTAAAAAACTTGCTAAAATAATTTGAGCTAAGAGAAAATGTAATAAAAGTAAACGAAACAAAACCGTTTTACAGTGAAAAAAGATATAAAGCAACAATTTACAATGTAACAAATAAATATGTTGTGGGGTTAGTGAGATGGAGTTAGTGTTGGTAGAGAGATGAACTTTGAAATAAAGAAAGGAACTGTTATGGGTTCAGTCAAATTACCATCACTAAAAAATTATCAGTAAAGTTCATCATCTCAGTCTCTTAGCTCACCTCTGTTTTTCTTGATAAGTACCACCATTGAGTATACACATATAAGAGGGGTCAGGTAATGCTAATAGTTGTTACCAATTTTGGCAACGTAGTTAGGGCCGCTGACGTTTGGATCACGGTAGTCTTATCGGTAGTGCAGTGCGCCTCTAAGGAACTTTTAATCATTTAGTATTAAAAATTTATTATAAAACAACGAAACTCCGAAAAAACAAATTGCAACAACAAAAATGCTATTTATGAAAGCAATAATAAAATACCCCCGCCGCAGCAAGCCTGAAGACTAAGCGAATTTCCATTTGCCTAATTGGATTTACACTAAAATGTCTCCTAAAAATATCACATTTATTCCTTATTTAAATAGCATTAGTACTCTAGGTTTGCTCCAACAGGGAGGGCACAAGTGTTTATTTTTTGTAAAATGTTTATAGTTTGGTATGAAATAATTGCATTTTCCAAATGTGATCAAAATATTCTCATAAACAAGCAAACAACAACAGTTTACTTATTCTCCATAAGAATAACATGGGAATTTTAAATTACAATTTTTTTTTAATTTTCTCCGTATAACCATTAGGCGCACGAACGCTTCAATATACTAAATTATTTGTTTTTTTTAAGCTCTAAAAAATGGTTTGGAAACAAATTGCTAAATTTTATGTTTTAGGGTCAAAAATGAAAAAAACCAATTTTTACCCCATAAACCCCCGTTCCCATGGTCTGATCATGCTGGTTCGCGAACTCGTTTGAATAAATGGAGGTTTACACCATTAACTATTACTACTATTAACTTTTGGTACTCTCCTGTTAAAGGGAACATTCATTATTATCGATGATTTTTTTCTCGATATATCGATATTAACCAATTGATACATATCAGCTGACAACTACGATAAATATTGTTCAGTACCTATCAACAAACAATAATAAAATGAAACTGTTCTAAAAAAAAATAACCTGACATAACTAACCAAACTTGCTGTGTGACATTTAAAAATTCTGTGTTTAACTTGCCTTTTCTGTTATCAAAAGGAATTTTTAAATAGTACAACAAGTTTGGTTGGTTATTTTAGGTTAGCTTAGAACAGTTTCATTTCTTAATCCACCTAAACAAGATCAGTTGTCAATTTGTAATGGATCGGAAAACAAAAATATTGATATATCGAAAAAATCATCGATAATAATGAATGTTCCCTTTAACAGGAAAGTACCTAACTTTTTAATGCTATTGAACAACACAGAATCAAATTGTTTAGTTAAACCAGCTGTTAAGATATTTTAATTCCATTTAAACATGAGTACTCATAAGGTTAACATGGGAAACTCCAGAGCCACTGGGGTGGAGCTCTTTTGACGGATCTGTACCAAACTTCACACAAACCATCCATGAATAATGCTTAACAATGTCTGAAAGTTTCATTACAATCTGTCGAGTGGTTTCGGAGTCCATAAAGGACAAACAAACAAACATACATACATTGGATTTTATATACTGTATATAGATACTAGCTGACCCGGCGAACTTCGTATCGCCTAAGTTATAGGTTTCCCCTAAGACAGACCGTTGGAAAGAAAGTACCGTTACGTTTAATTTTCAAGATGATCTCGTTCGCATCGCTCAATCACGTCCTGGTTGAAGTTCGTTCGCTACGCTTACTCACCTTTGGGTTGGAGCTCGTTCGCTACGCTCACTCACCTTTAGGTTGGAGCTCGTTCGCTGCGCTCACTTGCCTTCAGGTTAGCTCGTTCGCTACGCTCACTCACCTTTTGGTTGCAAATTAGCTGTTGTCATAAATGTAAAAGAAATAATAGTGCTGCACCCTGTTGGTAATCCTTGTAACTTTAATGCTATTGAACATCATAGAACAGAACCAACTTGTTTAATTGAAACAGCTGTTAAGATTCATTAATTCCATTTCTCATAAGGTTAACATGGGAAACTCCAGAGCCACTGGGGCGGAGCCCTTTTAAGAATTTCGAAACGGGAAATAGTTTACGTCCGATTCGCATACCTACAGAATTTACACACCAAATTTCATAACGATCGGTGAAGTCGTTCCGGAGGAGTTTGCAGACAAACACTGTGACACGAGAATTTTATATATTAGATAGGGTTAGTAAGTCTGGAGACCCCCTGTTAATTTTTTAACGGCCCATACTAGAAAAACTAAACTCAGCACACCGTTATAGCATGTTATGAAGTACTTTTTGGGCATGAGAGCCACTTGGCCCATAACACAGTAAAATATATCCTCTAACACAGTAAAATATGGCAGCCAATTGAATATAAAATTGCAAGTTAATTCTGATTTCTAAAGATTTCAATCAGCTGCCATTTTTTGCTGGATTGAAATAGAGACAGTCTAGTTTGCGTTGTTAGTTTTCTTTTATCAGGACCTTCAAAATGAGGGGTCACTTGATGGGGCTTAACGTTTAAAGTTATTGAGTTTCCCCCAAAATCCCCCATTTTGGGTATGGAAACCAAGTAGCAATTAGGCTCAAAAAGTACTTCATAACATGCCATAAAGGTGTGTAGAGTTTAGTTTCCCTAGTGTGAGCCGTTACAAAATTTACAGGGGATCTCCAGACTTGGAAAGCTGTAAGTTAAATTTAACTTCTGAGAATTTCAATTGGCTGCCATTTACTGAATTGAGATAGAGCCCTCTAGTTTACGTTGTTGGTTTTCTTTTAACAGGACCTTCAAAATGAGGGGTCGCTCGATGGGTCTTACTATTTGAAATTTTTGAGTTTTCCCCAAAATCCCCTATTTTGGGGATGTATACCAAGTCGCGGTTGTGCCCAAAAAGTACTTCATAACATGCCATAAAGTTGTGCCAAGTTTAGTTTATCTAGTATGGGCTGTTAAAAAATTAACAGGGGGTCTCCAGACTTTTTACTAACGCTGTTATATAAATGGCCTCTAGGGACCTCTAAAGGAAAAATTAAATCGGTCCCGGGTCCAGGTCTTACCATGAGTACTGCAGTAATAGCTTATTCCCTATATGGGAATTTTGCTAAAACAACCAAACTGCCTTACCGACAAGCCCGAGGTGGAGTAGTTCGGGCCACTGATGCTACTCGTGCAACAGCGCTGTTCAGGTAACGATAACCTCCATTGAGTGACTATTCCAGTACATGTATACTCAATGGTACCACACACAGATCTGAAGTCTTAATATATATATATTTTTTTGAATGTACATTTTACATTTTTTTCAGTCAAAACATCAATAGGTACCATCATCTTCACCAAACTAAAATGTCATGTGTCAAATAATTGCAAATTATTTGAATAAAAAAATAAATTAGTGCCAAATGTAAGATCGCCTTAACATTTTAAGAAGACTGTTATTTTGCAGTTTTTTTCAAATGTTAACAACTAAAATAATCAATCAGATCTGGTTATATTGGTTTTTCCTACAGTTACCTAACAATGTACATGTTCTCTCACTGATTTGAGAAAGCAAAGTGGCCAATTCGCTCATCAATATGAGACAATGTTAACATTGTCTCACTCTAATTACTTTGTCTCATTCCAGATTTGCAACCTGAAGGCACGAAATAGTGAGCGTGTAACATGTAGACAAGGTCGCATGCGCGCGAAATAAGAAATACGTTGGCAGCACTGGCTGTAAATCAGCTGGTCAGCTGTTGTACTGTTGTATTTGTTACTTCACATTAAATGTCATATTAAAAGTTCACTTCTGTGTAAAAATATGTTACGTTTCTTTACCAATTTATTTGTTTTATGGTAACTGTAGGAAAAACATAATGTGCAACTCGAGTGCAAAGTGCAAATACCTCACTCGAGAAACCATTCCTCACTCGCCTACGGCTCGTGAGTAAGTATTTCTCTCGAGTGAGTCAATTGCTCCCTTTGCTCACTAGTTGCACAAATAACTATTTTTCAGAGCTAGCAAGTCCCTACTGGGTGTGAGAGGCCGCCATTGCCATGCAACAAGACGAGCATCCAAGGCTGGATATGGTCAGATATCTCAGCGAGACATGGCGCTCACTCAGTTCGGGTTTATGGGTTTTGCCCTTTTAAGATCAAAAGAACTTGGACTTTCAGGATCAGATGCAGATCTTGAAGGTTTTGTGCACTTTTGGAGAACAATCGGTTATCTTCTTGGGATCAAAGACAAGTAAGCATGGATATTGTAGAAAGATGTAGTTAAAAGTCAAACATAATCTCAAGCAGTATGCCAAATCGTATAAGGATTTTCAAAATATAAAAATAAATGGGTGACATAAAGGGGAAGCAGTGAAATAATTTTATAGTTGGAGAAGAATCTTGTGCTTATCACATACTATACAGGGTTGGGCAAAAGTATGGACACCCCGGATTAACTTTTTAATGGGTCACAGCAGTAAAACCAAAATTTGAACACCTCTAAATGGCATAAACTACACTTTTTGTTGGTATCCCAATATGGCCTTGATAGAAAGAGACCTTTAGTTTTTGCAGATACCTTTTTTAACTGATACGGTAACCTTTAAAATGACGAGTCACTTGATGGGACTTTACATTTTACATTGATGAGCTGCCCCCAAAATACCCTATTTTGGAGTTCTGGACAAAAATTAATTGGGATAGCAACAAAAACGTGTAATTCTAAGCCATATAGAGGTGTTCAGAGTTTTGTTTTCCTGGTGTAACCTATTAAAAAGTTAACAGGGGATGTCCATACTTTCGCCCAACCCTGTATACTTTTATTAATGAGAGATTCCACCAAACTATCTGTATATTATAATCTAGTGAGTACTACGACTATCCGCAGTACTATCCTAAATAATTAGACCAATTCGTTAATTACGAGGAAAAAATGTGGTTCGGATTCCACAATAAACTGTAGGTCCCTTAGTTGCCATTAGCTGTATGGGCTATTAATTAACAGCTGTGTCTAAGGAACATGTCGGCCTTAGTCACTAACAAGACTACAAGATCGCGCCACTCATCCTACACTCATCCTTCACTCATATTTGGGTTAAAATACGCTCATAGTGGCGTCCCCATCTTAAATAATTGATAATTGATTGATAATAATTGATAACCCTCGCCATTGTATAGAATAATATATTTTCCCATAAAAATTTCAAGTCTTCCTGTCTTCAGTCATATTTATTTTCTTTTATTCGAAACCCGCTAATCTGTGCTCATAAACCTTTTTGGGTTTGTGCATTTCAGGAAAGCAGTGTGCTATAATTTTATGAACCAAACACAACTATAATTTTTATCTTTAAATCTGTAAAAAGGTCATAAAGTATGATCTTAAATAGGATAACAAAAATATTTAATTCGCAAATTAAACTGTCATCAAGCTACAGCAGAAAAAAATTAAACATTCTTGCCACCAAGACTGATGACTTGAATAAATAGTTATCCGTTATCCTCAGAATCATAGGCATCCCGTGACCAAAATTTTTTTGCGGGGAGGGGGGCACACACAACATATCAGCACTATGAAGTCTAAAAAAATGCTAAAATATTGTATTTTTAATAGAAATTCCTAAAAGTTGGAAGGCACAGGCCCCCCCCATCTATGCTCAGAATAATACATAACACCAAAGATGGACGTACGTAACATATTATATGTTAATAAACAAATGTTTGTTGCTTTAGGGTTGAATATGAAAATGTGTTGATGAGAAATAATACTTGCAGGTACAATTTATGCCAAGGCGATGTACAGACCACCAGACAGACTTGCCAGGCCATGTTGGACAAAGTGTTTGTTGTCGGATTAAAACAGAATTCAACTGATTTCCAGATGATGTCAAAAGCCCTGCTAGAGGGTATGTGGGCTGTGATACCGTTCATCAACACAGAAGCTTTTTTTGGATTTACAAAAATGTTATGTGGAGTTGATGATGTCCAGTTTACTAATGTATACAGCAAAACCCTTTTTAACTTACAAGTCTTTGTGCACAATGCTATTTTGAATTCCTTTCTTGCGGCAATTATCAGGCCAATTTTAAATTTCAACATGTGGCTTGCTTTATTTATAACCCAAAGATTCCCATACCTTGCATTTTTAGCTTTTGGAAGAGAGATTACTGCACCAGAACAGTACACTATAAAAAGCTCATTAGCAACTGAACAATGTACCGGTACATGATTTCATGTTCAACCATTGCATGACAAGAATGTAAGCAGGAAACCATGATTTTATAGGTTAAGTAAGACATAGATTAAAGGAGAAGATGTCTACTCCTTTAATCTATGGTTAATAAAAGCAATTACAATTAGAATGAGAATGTGTGTTGGATGTGTGTTGTTCAACTATTAATTTTATACCGGGTGAATAAAAAGTCAAGACCCCCCCCTCTAATATTTTTCCAAGTAAATATACAGAGATATCCTTTTGGTGGTCGAGCAATCTTAGCAGGAAGTTTCATTTTATCATTTTGAAATTTTTGAGTGTCCCCCCAAAAGGGGGGATTTGGGGGGCAACTAAAATATTTTAAAAGTAAACCCCCTTCAAGTGACACCTCATTTTGAAGTGTTTACAAAAACTTAAAGAATGGTGAAAACTAGAGGTCACTATCTCTTCTCTATCCAAAATGGTAGCCCGTCAAAATGTTGTGGAAAATCAATGGTAAAATTGTTAATATTGGTTGTCATTTTGGTTAGAATAGAGAAGACATAGCGAGCTCTGGTTTTCACCATTCTTTAAGTTTGTTTAAGCACTTCAAAATGAGGTGTAACTTGAAGGGGAATTACATTTAAAATTTTTGAGTGTCCCCCAAAAGGGGGATTCGGGGGACAACTAAAAATGTTTCAATAGAAACCCCTATCAAGTAACACCTTATTTTGAAGTGCTTAAACAAACTTAAAGAATGGTGAAAACCAGAGCTCGCTATGTCTTCTCTAACCAAAATGACAACCAATATTAACAATTTTACCATTGATTTTCCACAACATTTGACGGGCTACCATTTTGGATAGAGAAGAGATAGTGACCTCTAGTTTTCACCATTCTTTAAGTTTTTGTAAACACTTCAAAATGAGGTGTCACTTGAAGGGGGTTTACATTTAAAATATTTGAGTTGCCCCCCAAATCCCCCCTTTTGGGGGGACACTCAAAGATTTCAAAATGATAAAATGAAACTTCCTGCTAAGATTGCTCGACCACCAAATGGATATCTCTGTATATTTACTTGGAAAAATATTAGAAGGGGGGGTCTTGACTTTTTATTCACCCTGTATGATAAAATAATAGTCTTAATGCTTCCTTCCTGTAAAAAGCATGTATGATTGTTGTTTATCACTGCTTAAGTGAATACTCTACAATATTTCTGTTATGAAATATTAACAGGATACCTATTAAACTAGTCAATAGTGATAAGGTGAAACCTCTTTATAACTTGGATAATAACTTTGGAATTGTAATAAAATAGTTACAAATATACATATACGTACAAATGTGTTTGTTTGAATTATTTGAAACATATTGTCCATTACGACTATGTATGAAAATTGCCAAGTTTTGCATCTGGATTATGTCTCTTCTTTCCTTTAGGAGAAAGGATATACAAACAAGAGAGGATATAATCAAATTTCAGATTCTAAACAAATATTGATTACTTTACTAATTTTTTAAACCAATCTCTTTATCTATACAAACATAACGCCCCTGACAATCAGTCAAGTGCAGAATTTGAATTGCAGTATCCTTAAGACACTTGATACCTACAATATTTGTATATACCGTATTCTAAATTATTGTGTTTCTGACTTACCAGTACAAGTCTAAGAAAAGAAAAAGCTTAGTTATAGTTTGTGCGATTCTTCGTAAAGCCTGGGTGTGAGGGGCTGTAGTGGCAAGTGGAGAGCCAAGCCCGGGAGGGGAAGTTGACGTTGCTATCCTGTTCTGCTACTAGTCTGACAAAAGATATTTCTCAGTATTTTTCGGAGTTCGGACCGTGGTGCGAAGGTGATTCAGGTTGTTTGGTCTGTAGATGAGCCATCAAAAGAGAAACATGGCGAATTCCCTTGGGGCTCTGCCCCAGTGGCCTTTAAATTCCCATCCCATGTTATTCTTATGGAGGAAAACTGGGTTTTTGTCACAGCTAATTTGAGAGAACGGCTGTGCGTAGAAATTTGGTAGGGGTCTCTAAAGAAAGGTCTTGGTCTGTAGATGAGCCATGAAAAGATAAACGAGGTAAATTTCCTTGGGGCTCTGTCCCAGAGGCCTTTAATGTTCCCTCAGCAGATTTGTTTACATTACGACCATATGCATAATTTTACACTACTTTTTAATGAAACAGCTGTTAATGTTTGAATTGTGATTTACAGATTTTGTCAAAATGAAGTATTTGCAATGGTTTTTTTAGATTTTAAAATCTATTTTCTTCTGCATCGTGTCATGTTTTGCAATATAATATTCTATAACCAAATCAGTGGAAAATCCTAATATCACAGTAACTCTTAAAATTATTTCTTATGGAGTTAACATATATCTATTGTATGGGTTGGTTACTGCCTTTTTTACCACTTCTTGGAGATTGTACGTAGGCGTGTTGCACGTAGACAATATTCTTTGGCGTATTGCATCTGTAGACGATATTTGGGTTGGTGTAATTATTACAATGGAAAAAGCGAGAAACCTGGGACAATTTGATATACTAAAAATAAAACTGAATTAACACTGTGCTACATTTCTTGAGCAATCATTGAAAGAGCCGATTTGCAAACAATGGAAACATAGGAAAGTAAAAAAAAAACACAACCAACTAGAAGAAATATAAATAATGTTTTTTTTTATATTTATAATCGTTATTATAGACAATCTAATGTGGCTATGAGTGGGAAACATTTCTAGAAAACACTAAAAATCTAGATCAGCTTTTGATAAGATATTTACAAAAAATTTTGATTATATCTAACTGTTGTGTACATCTTGAGTATTTCCATAATCTTTGAGTCGACTGCTATAAAGTCATCGGAAATTATGACTTATTCGTTTTAAAATAACGCCTGTAATGCTTCGCAATTGCTCGAATTCAAGCAACAGGTACACTAGTAATACATTAGTTCAATAGGTGAAGGTAATTGTAAATCATCTATTGCATGCACCCCACGTTTTTCGTTTTAAATCTTACAAGTATTTATACTCTCCACATATTTATAAATTATTTTCTACTTTTTAGTGCATTTAAAAACGTTTTGTTTAAAAAAAGTTTTTTATTTATAAATTATGCTGATTCCAATTGATGGTAAACTCTTTGAAATGTTAGTCTATGATCAAGTTAGTTATTTTTTAGAAGACAATAACTTTCTCAATTTGGTTTTCGGAAAGGAAAATCCACTATGGATGCCGTGGATCGGCTCGTCAGAGAAGTGCTCATGACTTTTGAGAACAAATCTATGCTCAGGTCACTATGTGTGATCTGAGCAAGGCTTTTGATTGTGTTGACCATGATGATCTATTATCAAAACTTAACTACTACGGGTTTTCTGGTAATTCATTAACTTTTTTTGAATATTATCATAAAAATATACTTCAAACTGTCTCAGTTAATTGGTATCATTCCAAGGAAATCTTGGTTCAATACGGAGTCCCACAAGGATCTGTTTTAGGACCCCTGCTGTTCTTAATTAGTATTAATGATCTTCCTAGCTCTGTTCGTACAAAGTCTCTGTTTTATGCCGATGATACCACTTTTGTAGACATTTCTGATGACTTTGTTCAGCTCAATTTACTTGCCCAGACAACTTTGAAAGACGCTGACTTGGTTTAAAGCAAATGGATTTTTACTTAATGATCAAAAAACTCAAAAAATGTTATTTACATTAAGGACTGTAGATGGTGTAATTACTGATGATTTGGTCTCAAATGCAAAGTTTTTAGGAATTTATATTGATGACAAGTTAAACTGGCAACCACATATTGAGCACATATCTTGTAGACTTTCACGAGTTATCTATCTTTTAAAACGATTGACAATGTGCGTCCCAAGTCATTATCTAAAAACATCTTACTTTGCCTCTTTTCAATCTATTCTTAGATATGGTCTGATTTTGTTTGGCAACTGTAATAAAATTGATGACATTCTTATCCTTCAGAAGAAGGCAATTAGAGTTATGACCAAGTCAGATGTAAGTGATCATTGCAGGCCTTCACTTATTCAGTTGGAAATACAAACCATTATCAACCTTTACATTTTTGATCTTGTATCTTATATACTAAAAAATCAGGATCTTGTTACACTCACTGGGGATATGCACAGTTCACTCGCAATAGGGATAAAGCAGCAATTGAGTACAATAGGCTCAACAAATCACTGTCTAGTCATGTAGTACTATCCCTTAAGGTATATAATAAAGTAATTAATCTTAGTAAGAAATATACTGTTTAAGTTTTTAAGAACAAATTTTATGAGTGGTTATCTAAAAATCCTTTTGTTACATATGTTATTAAGATTCACAGATGTTCAGAATTATTTATTATTATGTTTGTTTAATTCAATGTTGTTGTTTAGTTCAAGCTAACATTATGAAATGATTAAATTGAGTTTTATACAGTTCTTGTTAATAATTGTATTTAATAATTGGCGACGAGAACAATTAATTATTTCTACGTTTCTATTTTACACTTATTACATTTACTAGTACAAATAATTGATTATGGCCTCCTTACAAGGAAATGAAACATTGAGTGAACTGAAGAAAGCAAGGGCTGTTGTTAATGGTCAGTTGACTAGAGCTGAGAGAATGCTGGAAGAATTGTCTGGTATTAAAGTTGATAGTATCAGAACAAGACTCTCAGTGATACATGCTTATTGGGAACGATTCGAGCAAATCCAGCACAACATTGAAGTAAAAACAGATGAAAAAGAACTTGACACTGAAATCACATACAGGACCGACATGGAGGATATGTATTTCAAAATAGTTGATGTATTACAACTCCGATTAAGTGAATTGGAAAGAGTCAACGAAACAGAAGAACTACAGCAGATCAGACCATACAGTGTTGATACCAGCGAACACATAACAAAATAGAAGCGCTACCCGGAGCGCAGGAGCGTGGCAGTCTGACTAGCCGACGAAACGGACAAAGATGGCGGCGCTAGCCTAGTCCCGGCGTCTGCAACGCGCTGGTCGTCTGCTATGCTTCGAGTCAGTGTTGTTTACATAGGCTTTGTTTCAATGTAAAAATACTTTTGTATAAAAATTACTTAGGTTTTTCTGGAAGTACATTGTCGTATTAGTATATTGTTGGAAATGTCTTAAAGTAAATCGATTGTTTTTACCGTAGTAAATTGATTTTTTTTATCGCGGAGAAATTTTTGTTTACAAATATATATCTGTTTAAAAAACATCTTTGTTCACATTATAAATCTGTCATATTGGTGTTATTTTATTTCTTGTGTCACGACAAACACGATGGCATTCTGAACGACATTTTTAACGTCTTATTAACGATGTTAGCATACGTTTTAAAAATAAACATCACCATAAAGACTATTGTGTGTAAACATTTTAAAATGCATGGAACTGTTAACAATAAACCTACCAATAAGCCATAACAATTTCAAAAAGATTGGCTGAATAGTTTGTTTACTATTAAATTTTAAACTTCAGTGTTAGTGCAGAGTTTCTTAAAAATCGGTACTTTTTAGGATCTTTCAACTATATAAATTTTTCTGGTAAACGGATTTTTTTTCATTGTTACCACGTACAATGTATTTAAACCAGATTATATTTAATTTTTGTCTCAACAAAACCTGATAATTCATCTCAAGAGATATTTAGGCTCAAACTCGAGTGCACATATTTATTTCCCCGACAGTAGTCCCGGCGTGTGAAGCGCGCTAGTCGTCTGCTATGCTTGATGAGAATAGTGCAGATAAAGTTAATGATATTAGTGTAAAGGAAAACAATGTAATTGAGGACTTGACGAACAGAGTACTTGGACAATGTGTAGGTGTAAATTTGTTTCCAAATAGTACACATTTCTCAGGATATGAAACAATATGGACAAAAATCATTTTTGTTTAGTAACTAATTAAAATTATTGCTCATAAATATTCCAATGTTAGAGTTCCCTACTACTGTAAAATAAGTAACGAAAGTCTTCACAAAAATAAAATCAGGCTACATCTCAGTAAAACTGTAGGCTAATTTTTCTGGGACAATAAATTGAGTGTAATTTTACAAATATATTTGGGAAGTTTAACTTAACTTACAGAATTATCTTTAGTTAATCTTGGATGATATTGAAAGCTAATTAGTCCTTAAAAAGTTGTGCTAAAAGGTTGAAAATTCTACATAGACAATATATTTGAAAATTGCTTTATATATACAATATTACAGTACAACAGTATAAAACATTAAAACACTGCACGCTAAATGTATAGAAGACGGCCGGCGGCGCAGCGGGCGTGGCGCGAAGCAGCCAGCGAAGCAGCGGCAATGGATCCCTTTTGTACCTGATTTTTTACAAAACCGATCGTGATAAAAAATTTTGGTGAATCGCATAGTTAAATTTGGTTATTTATCCACAACTTTCCCGCTGACGAAATTTCTCTGACCAAAAAATAAAAAATTTCCTCGCAATACAACTTTTTCATGTCTGAATTTGAAAAATTAAACTACATAAGTATTAAACATTTTTATAACTCAATTACTATCATAAATAATAATTTTAAATTAACACCATCGTTTTCCTCAGTATCATATCTACAAGTGTGCAAAATTTCAGAATTTTTTGTCAACTATTAATGTTGTTTATGATCGTGTATTTGTCGCGGGGTTTTTAATGCGAACTGAGCTCGCGGGTCTTGGATTCAGGCTGTATGACGGACCAAGATGGCGGATTTGGCCACACTTTCAGTGCATTTGGTTAAACGCCGTGTCCTCTCTATTATTATTATTATGTGCTCGCTGGTTGATACTCAGAAATTGCGACCGCTTACATCAACAATTTCGTTCACACCCTTTCAAGATGACGAGACATTCAAGAATTTCATAAGACGTCTAGAAGTCTTCATTCACTTACATGGACAAGGAATGCATCCTACAGATAAGGTATACACATTACTTCATTCTTTAACCCCTAGCCTACATCAGAAGGTTTATGATTTATGTGCTCCAGAAGTACCTCTGGATAAGTCATATACAGAATTGGTGAGAATGTTGACAGATTATGTTGATCCACAGCCAAGTACTTGGGCTTTACAGCACAAATTCATGTCTAGAGTACAGGAGCCCAATGAAACAGTTAAGATTTATTCAGTTGAATTGCAAAAACTTACATCTAATTGTGAGTTTAACTGTGAGTCTTGCCAGAAATCAATCGCTAATACACTTTTGCGAATGCAGTTCATAAGGGGGTTAGTTAATAAAGATATTAGAGCAAAATTGCTTCAGGATAATTCAATTGTATCGTTTCAAGATGTTGTCAAAGCAGCGACAGCGATGGAAATTGCAAACCACTAGAGTGATCTATCTGAATACTATGCAACTAAAACTAATAGGCCTAGTACAGTACATCAGATTGAGGATAAATACAAAAATGTATCAACTAAATCGAACATGACGTCAAACCAGAAAAAGCCTTCACCTCTTTTTGAGAGTCTTAAAGGAAAATGTTACAGATGTGGTTCTCAAAACCATAGGGCCAATAACTGTGAGTTTGCTTCAAAGATATGTAATAAATGCAAGAAACAGGGACACTTAGCCAGAGTATGTTTAGGATCTACAAGAACAAAAATTCACCAAGCCGAAGAAGAAGACTGTCAAGATGAACAACACGAGATTTTCAAAATAGATAGAAGAAATGGAGATAAAATTATGCTTGACTTATCAGTTGAAGGTAAACCAGTTCAAATGGAACTTGATACCGGTTCTGCTATAAGTACTCTGCCTTACTCTACATTCAAGAAACTTGAGATTAATAGGAAAATTTTTCATACACAAGTGCAGCTACGAACATACACTCGAGAAGTCTTCAAACCAAAAGGAGTTGTTTTTGTGCATTGTACATACAAGGATCAGAAATTTACAGGCAAACTTTACATCGTGGATGACAACCTTGACGCAATATTTGGTCGCGATTGGTTGCGAGAAGTACAGTTAGACTGGGCTGAACTAAAGGCAGTACAACAATACCCAAAAGTAGGTGGTCTTGACAATCTTTTAGAGAAGTTCAAGGATGTGTTTGAGCCAGGTATCGGTAAGATTCCAGATCAACTTGGACACTTACAACTTGTCGATGGGGCTCGTCCGGTATTTATGAAGGCTAGGCCTGTACCGTACGCATTAAAACTGAAAGTGGAACAAGAACTTGACCGCTTAGAAGAAGCAGGAATAATTTCTAAAACTCAAGAATCTGAGTGGGGAACACCAATCGTTCCTGTAGTCAAGCCTAACGGAGATGTGAGAATATGCGCAGATTACAAAGTGACAGTAAACAAGCAGATCCAAGATGAACATCACCCTATTCCCAAAATTGAAGACATATTTGTCAACATGAATGGTGGAAAATTATTTTGTACACTAGATTTAAGAAATGCTTACCTTCATTTGGAAATGGACAGTGATAGTGCAAATATTCAAACCTTAAGCACGCATAAGGGACAGTACAGGGTACATAGATTAATGTTTGGTATTAAAGTTGCTCCTGGAATTTGGCAGAAAACAATGGACAAGACGTTGGCAGGCCTAGAGGGGATACAGTGCTTCTTTGACGATATAGTCATTCAGGGAAATTCAGAAGAGGAACTACTTCTGCGTTTGGAAAGTGTCTTAGGAAAACTAAGAGAAAAAGGTTTAAGACTCAATCGTGACAAATGCAAGTTTCTCCAGAGAAGAATACATTATTTGGGCCACGTCATTGATGAAAAAGGTATACATAAATGTATGGACAAAGTAGCTGCCCTAACTAAGGCAAGAAAACCTGAGAATGTAAGCGAACTCCGGACATTTTTAGGTTTGGTAAACTATTACAACCGATTCATAAAAGACCTAGCTACTCTACTGAAACCATTACATAAACTTTTACAGAAAGGGAACAAATACGTTTGGAATGAACAATGTGAACAGAGTTTTGAACAAATCAAGAAAGTTATCTCCAGTGATACTGTTCTTTGCCACTACAGTCCAGAACTACCACTAGTATTAGCTACAGACGCATCTCCTGTTGGGTTAGACGCTGTTATATCACACCGTTTTCCTGATGGGACCGAGAAACCAATTGCTTTTGCCTCTCGAACGTTGACGAAGCCTGAAGAAAAATATAGTCAGATAGACAAGGAAGCAACTGGCATTATTTGGGGCCTAAAAAAGTTCTTTACTTATTGTTACGGTCGCAAATTCACCCTCGTAACCGACCACAAACCACTAGTCACAATCTTTAACCCAGAAAAAAATCTTCCATCCATGTCTGCAACTCGTTTGTTCAATTATTCTCATTATTTATCAGGCTTTGATTACAGCATTGAGTTCAGAAGATCAAATGAACATGGAAACGCTGATTTTCTCTCTAGATTTCCTACTGAGACACAAAATAGTACCTGCATTGACCAAATTGATGTTTTCCTAACAAGTCAGATCAATCAAATGAGTTTGGATCATAAGTTGGTAGCAAAAGAAACTTCCCATGACACGGAAATGAATAAGATAGTACACGCTTTACAAAATGGCCAGTCTGTTGAAAAACTTGGATTTCACGATGGTGAACTGAGTCTTCATGAAGGTTGTATCCTCAAGGGATGGAGGGTTATGATTCCGAAGTCTCTTACTAAAACTGTTTTGAATGAATTACACTTTGGACACATGGGTGTATTGAAAACGAAAGCATTAGCCAGAAGTTTTTGTTATTGGAAAGGACAAGACAAAGATATCGAGGAGATGATTGCATCATGCAGAGCGTGTAGAGAAAAACAAAATGCACCACAAAAAGAAGTGAACCATCCTTGGATACCAGCTACTAGACCTTGGGAAAGGATTCACATTGATTTTGCTGGCCCTACAAATGGACTTTACTTCCTGTTAGTCATTGACGCATTTACCAAATGGGTAGAAGTATTGCCTACGAAATGTACTACAGCTACTTGGACAATAAAGGAGTTGCGAAAAATGTTTTCTACTTTTGGATTACCAGATCTTCTTGTGTCAGACAATGGACGACAGTTTACTTCCTTAGAGTTTACTAGCTTCCTTGAACAGTGTGGAATTACACATAAAACAACTGCACCATATCACCCTTCATCTAATGGGCAGGCTGAACGTTTTGTTCAAACTGTAAAGAAATCACTTAAATGTATGGAAAATGAACCTGGGACCATCGATGAAAAATTACATAGATTTCTAATGCAGATCCGCCAAGCTCCTAATTCAACGGGAACCTCTTCATATTTCCTCATGTTTAATAGAAAGATTCGCACTTATCTAAGTCTACTAAAGCCTCGGGGAAAACACGAACCTACCTGTCCAAAAGGTATAATGCGAAGATTCAATCCTGGGGACCGCGTACAAGTCAGAAATTATTCAGGAAGAGACAAGTGGGCCTTGGGAACAGTTGAAATTAAAGATGGTTATCTTCATTATTACGTTAAAATGGATGATGGTCAAACTTGGAGGCGACACGTCGACCAGATGCTACGCACAAAACTTTAAGGGGGGGACCACTGTTACATATGTTATTAAGATTCACAGATGTTCAGAATTATTTATTATTATGTTTGTTTAATTCAATGTTGTTGTTTAGTTCAAGCTAACATTATGAAATGATTAAATTGAGTTTTATACAGTTCTTGTTAATAATTGTATTTAATACCTTTTTATTCACTTAGTGAGTTTTTCTTAATAAAACAGATAGAATTTTAATGTTTGGAATTTGTTACGGTATGTATAATTTTTGATTCTTGTATAGTTCCTATGACTTTTATATTCCTATGATGTGTGATATTACCCTTAGGCCTAATTAGAATAGTGACTTGGCATTTCTGCTGTATACTTGACTTTGTCAATGCTTATGTAGCCTGAAAGACAATAAACATATTCTTATTCTTATATGAAAATGACAATATTTTTATAGAAAGTTGTTCAATGTAATGCCCTATATTTATTTACTTTCCCTAATTTATTAAATTTTTAAGGGAAATTTGTATATATTTACTTAAGAGCCGGCTGGAGCCAGCGAAAATTTCGCCTTTTGGCAGCGCCTGCAATACGTGAGATGCGGTAGCGCCACTATCGGTGGCCACTAGGGGAGTTACGTGCTCTAGCTCTATTGACAGAACTAAACCTAGGCTTCGAGAACAACACACAGTGTAAACAAAACACTGAATAACCGCAAGGAACCGAGCAAGATAGTAACGTAGCCCTTCCTCGACTCCATATCCATCATAAATCATAACAGCTGAATGTTTGTCGGGTTTGGTCTGGTCTGACCTGACCTTCACAATAGCTTGCTATGCCACTTTGAAACAATTGTAGTACAAGTCATTGATATAACTTTGATACAAGATTGAATTATTTTAAAACCGTTTTTAACAATGTTTAGATATAAGTTTTATTACAGTTATCGTTATTTAAAAATCAGTTTGAAGCTTTTTCCTAAGAATATTTGTTTGAGCGATAAAAATTTTATCAAAGATCCTAATAATTATATCAACCATTTTTTAAATCTAAGATTTGACTAACATACGTTTCAAAACAGTTTTAACAAAATAATCTTTCTAAACAACATATGAACAGTTTTAACATTTGGTTAGTAGTTAGTCTTTCAATTGCTTTAAAGAATTTTAAAAAATAATTTCCAAAAATGTAAATACGACTAAACTGATATGTACTAACGTAAGTTACAACAAGTTTAACTAATCTTTAAACTAATTTTCAAATATAATTATTAAACGATATTAAACGACTTGTATGTCTAAGGTTGTATAAAAGAACAGTTCATGTAACAAAAACGGTATGTACGTTGAACTATTTCAACACGTGTTGTTTAGTAAATTGTATTGTATTATAGTGGGTAAGTATTTTTTTTATCCATGAGTTAAATGTTATTTTAATCAAATTCGTTACAAATAGGCTCTAATGTGAGGCATTTTCGTATAATTGTCTTAAATGCAAGTAGGTGATCTTCCCTTTTTAATGTAAAAAGTACTGTTGATTTTTCTCAACTCCATAAATTTCTTAGGGAGTATATTTTACGTTGTATATTTTTTGTTTTCCCTGTGAATGTTTATTTATTTTCATAACATTATCACGTATCAAACTTTATAAACAACAAGTATTCGTAGTTTTAATTTTAGTACACCACATTATCATTCGTCACTAACGGATGATAGGGCAGGCCCAGCAGGTAGTCCCATTGTGTCAGTGCGAGTGAGTGGGTAAGGGGTCACCTATTTTGTAACTTTCACATTTTTGCCAAACTGTACAGGCGTGTCTAGGAATCGAACGCTTCCTCTATTCGCATTGTACTAAAGCGTGCGCGGTCCAAGTATGACAAAATATCTGTAGAACCCCATACAGGCAATAATGTCAGTAATTTCGTCTTGTACAGTAAAACAAATATCAACATATTCAAATCCTTCGAAGAACCATCTCGCAAGGCATACTGCTGAAACTATAACAATGTTGTCTGTTTACACTAACTGGTTTTTATTTTTAAAGTGTACGAAAAATGCCACATCAGCCTAAAAAAATGCATTGCGAATCACCCTAAAATAAGTTAGCTTGCACTATTGCCTGCCTCCAAAATGTATAAAGGATTTCTATATTTTTTTATAATATTTATATTATATTATAATTTTTAGATTATATTATTATATTATAATTTTTATAATCGGCATAGTCCTACTGTTTCGAGGCTCTATTATTTCTGGGAGGACGCAGTTCTAGACTAAACAATGCTAGCTGCTAACAACCACAAAGACAATCGCCGAGATAGGGTGAGGAGGAAATCTATAAACAAATACAGATATTCTCTTGCACCTTTCCTGGAACTCCTCGCCTCTACTGTCGGGGAAAAAAGTTTAGACACTCGAGTTCGGAGCTCTACAGAAAAGTAACCAACTAACATAGAAAAGCACGTAGTATATAGAAATTTTCGTTGTTTTATTCTACGTATCCCTGTGAAAACAAAATTTTTTTAGCTTGTTTAGGAAATTTTTTATGACAGTCGGAAGGTCAAAACTGCCTGTTTTTAGAGTACCAAAAACCGTCTTATGACTTTGAAAATTCGCACAATAAACGGCAGAACTTTATCAAACTTTAATACAATATGGACACATGTATAATGAATTAATTCGTGTAGTTTCAGCATTTTTACTCTACCCAAAAAGTTTTTGTTGTAACTTTTGTAAATGAACTTTTTCTCAAAAACGGCAAACGCTAGAAAAAAATTAAAAGCTTGTTTCGAAGGTGATTGTTTTTGTATTTGATATATTGATACTGCTCAACCAAATTTTTACGCATGTTATTTATATAAATTAACAAAAAACTGGATGATCTCGCGCCTGCAAGGGGTGCAAACGCCATCGCCCGCTCGGGGACACCGAAACTGCCACGACGTTTTATGATCATGCTCCATACAGAAACTGCCACGGCAATTAGGAAGGATTATAAGGGTGTTTTCGAGTTGGTTAATAATTAATAATAACTGCTGTTCAGTTTTGACTCAACAGTTCGCAGCCCATCTCTGCTCAGTGTCCAGGTGTTCAATTTGGCAACACTGTACGGGGTATGCGCCCAGTCAGAGCCGGTGGCGGTCTGGAAGTGCCGTATTCGGCCTCTGCACTATCCAAATTAAATGTTAACTTATATAAATAAGATGCGTAACAATTTGGTTGAGCAGTATCAATATTTCAAATACAAAACCAATCACCTCCAAAACAAGCTTTTAAATTTTTTTCTAGCGTTTGCCGTTTTTGGGAAAAAGTCAATTTACAAAAGTTACAACAAAAACTTTTTTGGTAGAGTAAAAATTCTGAAACTACACAAATTAATTCATTATATATGTGTCTATATTGTATTGAAGTTTGATAAAGTTCTGACGTTTAGTTTACATTGTGCGAATTTTCAAAGTCATAAGATGGTTTTTGATACTCTAAAACAGGGAGTTTTTACCTTCCGACTGTCATAAAAAATTTCCTAAACGAGCTAAATTTTTTTTGTTTTCACAGGAATACGTAGGATAAAACAACGAAAATTTATATATACTACGTGTTTTTTCTAAGTTAGTCTGGCCACTTTTCTGTAGAGCTCCGAACTCGAGTGTCTAAAGTTTTTTACCCCGACAGTAGGAACGAGAATTTTCTAAAACATGATTTATGGCTAGTGTTTTTTCTTGGATGAAATGGAGTCGTCGTTGTATATATTTCTAGACTATACATCGATGCATAGAATACTTCATTTATATAGGCTAAGGAAACATATTTTCAATATAAACATGAAACAACTTTATAAGGTGTTATATAAAGATACGTGTTATAGTTAAAATTGAGAACTTTTTTTAAAAGATAATGAAACATACAATAGGCTTATAAAAATTAACTGCAATACGTTCTATTCAATTGGTTATTACAATAACGCGGGGAAAGATAGATTTATATCACAACGTTGCAGGGCAGATGTAGTTTTACAATTTCATTACATCTAGTGATAATTTAGGTAGTTAAAAAATATAAAAATAGGTTTTTTTTTGCATGAGATAAAACGCAATAATAAAATTAAACTATTCACACATAGTATTGACTAAGATATGGAGGTAAAAAGTATCATTATTTTTAATTATAGTTCAATTATACTTTATAGTTTTATACTTTCTTATGAAATGGCGACCAGTTTTGCCCTATAGACCTAGAGACAAATTGAACTGAACTTGTACAATTTCAGTTTGTGTTAAGATTCTTAACAATTTTGCGATCATTTGAATTTTGATTTTTGGGATCATTATAAGGCTTGCATCACCTTCAGCGAAAGCGATTGGAATTTGGAATATCTGTCATGCTTGGGGTGTTTAGTTTCTCAAGACTGTTCGACGCTAGTGCACCCTAGCGTAGGACCGCTGAACTACCTCAGTCGCTTGTCCGTGTGCTGCGGGACCCTTGATGACAAAGGTTTTTTAAAACGATCAAATTAATTACTCAGAGATTTTATTTTTTAGATGTGGTACACTCAAACAAAAACTGAAATATTGTAGTTTGTGATGGTACCAATCTCAATTACAAATATTAAAATATATGTTAGTTACAGTTGAACTAATTTACTGAAATCCTTATGGGAAATCAAATTACGTATTTCATGTATATAAAATTAAAAAACAACTTTATAATGGTTTATTATACTTTATATAGTAGGATATGTAGTGACAAACATTACTAGTGTTCCTTTTTTTTAGTAAATGTCTATATATTTCCTGAAATAAGTAAAATGTGTCGCCGCTCCATGTTAAACTAGCGGGCAGCGCTGAGCTCGGGCGAGCTGGCTCCCGCCGCCTCTTAAAGCTTCATTTATTATTTAGTATCAACAACAGCTAACCTGCAAAGCAAGTGTTTTAAAAGAAACTTCTTGACAACAAAATCGACAATACAGACTTTTTAATGGTTTTTGGCTAATCGCTAACCAAGCAATATTTAATGAGCTTATTTTATCATACTCCCGCAAACCACTTTATTTGGCTTTAAGAGAGCTTTAATTAAACTAAACTTTGGAATGTTTAAAACTGAATTCATTGTCTGGGAAAGGAAATGACAGATCTATTAGGAAGGATCTGGTTTTGGATTTTGGAAGTGTAAAATAATTAAGAAAGCTTTAATAAGAATCATTTATGTTTTCAAAGACAACAAATACAATTAGGTACCAAAAGTACAAACAGTAAATTACATAAGATAAAATAAAAGTGGCTCACAATGAGTTACTTGTGAGTCGTCCACACAATGGAGGAGTGTACAAAAACATGTAAAGCATTTTGTTTTGAAATCAGTACTAACTTTTTACCTAATTCCAGTAGTTGTAAATAATAGCCATAAAATAAAATTCGTAAAAATAACATGAATTAAATAATCCTAATAAAAATCAACAATATTTTATTACATAGAAAACAACATCATTAGAGCTTACATTTAGAGAGGAACACTAACAATAAACTTAAAGGATAAAAGCAGAGCCTTTGTAAGCTTCTTTGCACGAGAGCTACAACTACCTTACTATACATCACATACTGTTGTCAAACAACACAAAACAAAGGGTCACTTAGTGAATAAACAAGAAATGATCGTCTGTGGTGGCCTTTCAACTTATGAGAGAGTACCAATAATAAGCCTTCAAATAGACTGTACAAATGGATATAAAGTTGTAAAAAAAGAAAGAATAAATATTTACATGACATTGTAATACAAGTGTGATTAAGGCTGTAAAAAAAATAAAAAATTAATTGGTAATTTGATTGGACCCTCACTGTGTCTTGACAAATGGCACCAATACAAATAACCCTTATGCGTACATATCAATAGCAAAAGTTATGAACTAAAAAAACTTATGTTGGAGATCAAAAATTAAATCTAGGTATTAGCTATAGATTAAGTTTGTCAATTCTGTTATGACCTGAGGATGACAAGTTTAAAAAGCATTGTGTCCCAAATAGTTTTAGGATTTACAATGCAACTATTGATTTCAAAAGATATATGACTTAACTTGATGGTTTTACATTGACATTTTGGTAAAGTAGGAATTCAAAGTATAAAAATCTTTAGATGTCTGTAATTGAGTTTTAACATGTATTAATATAGGCCTCAGTGAATCTTGAGCTTAGGGATCAATGATCAAATAAGTCTTCTTATCAATTAACACAGCTATTGTATGAGGTTAGCAAAAAATGATTGAAAATATTGCTAAACTAACATGTGTTTGAGCAAAGCCTGGATGTATTTTGAAGATTTGCAAAAAATCCTCTAAAGTTTTCTTGGCAGATTGTACAACATCTATATTTTTACTGGACACAACGTCAATGTTTTTTCACCTTGATTTTGTTTAGTTTTATATGTTTGGAATGTTTGTTATGACAGTGTAGAGTGGCTTGACAACTTAACCTGTGATGGTTGCATGTGAGTCAGCAAACCATCTACCTGTGACTACTTAGCAATAAATTATACTTAAATAGATAGTGAATATCAAAAGCAGAAATTGTTAGTTATCAGCTCAAGATAAAATATATTGAGACCCCTTGAACTCAAGGACCAAATGAGACAGTAAATAACATGGTATCCAAGAACCCAACAGGTTAAATTTACTAAAACGTGGCATCCAAAATAATTTTCATATTTTTAATTTTGATGGTAGGGAACAGTAAATGTTGTCATTTTTCTGATAAGAACACACAGAATGGTTCTAATTAGCTTGATTGAATACAGTACACTCCCAAACATCCAGGGTTATCTGAGGTCATTATAGGCCTAGATATATATTTATTATCTCAGTCAGTAATCAATTAAAGCTTTATTACAGTACAGTATATTTCCGTTTAATAAAACGTGAAAATAGCCAGTAATTTTTGATTTGTTAAAATGATTGCTTGAAAAACCCATTAACAATTATTATTTTAGCATGAGAACGATCCACAATATCCTTAAAAAAACAAAATCGCACAATACTAGACTGGCCCCCAACCGTTGTCAAGCTGGACGAGCTGTCTGCAGAACGTAAACAATAGCAGCGTCAGTCTTTGCCATTACGATGTTTTTATGGAGATATGATTGTGTCATAGCTCAGGTCAAAATACATCAAATCTAATGTTATGCCTTTTAAAATAGAAAGATCCACTTAATTGTTTTTTTTTTTTCAAATACTGTTAACTCAATCTATTGGTTTAGCATAACTCTAATAACACTGTGTTTAAAGTTTTTCAATTCAACTGAAGAAGTATTAGGCAGGTCTATATGCATTTTTTTCTTTTGATAACATTAGCTATCTAATTGAAACAAGTTTGCATGAATGAATACTTTATTTGATAATTTTTTTCTGATGGTATAGCCTATCCATCGGAAACTGTCGGTTCAATCCCCCCCTATACCATGAAATCATCGGTGATATCGTTTTGAACAAGTCTGCGAACAACACGTATGCTGGCAAACTAAAATCTCAGAATTTAAATAAAGGTGAAAGTAGAATTCAAAGTCAAACGTCCCTAAATTGTTGTACTCATATTGATAATGATGCCGATACTGTTAAACCTAGCCCTAGTCTGCTTGGGAATAATGAAACTGTAAACGAACAGACGACAGCCAGCTCTGTTGGAAGTAGACATAGAGTTACAGAATCTATGGTGAGCTCGTTACATCGAAACCCAGAAAGCCGACCAGATTCATCAAAGTTTGAAACTGCCGCAGCGGAGTCAAATAGGAGTGAGATGGTAGCTGAATCCGATTCGTTCCAGACTGTCTCCTATCGGAAGCGAAAAAGACGTCGTGACATTCAACAGCAGGAGCAGAAGCAGAATAACGGAGGCCGTGGCGTTGGAAATGTCAGTTACAGACGACAAAATCAAAATAAACCTAAGTTTATTACTGGAAGTTTAAGTTTAGCGGATGGCGATAGAATCAAAACTGCCGAAAGGAAGTCGTTCCTGTTTGTGTCTAGGCTATCACCAGACACTGACTCTAAGGATTTGGAATCATTTCTATCAGGTAAATTTAGTGATGAAACGTTTAAGGTAGAATCGCTCAATTCTAAGTACCCTGAAGAATACTGCTCATTTAAAGTCACCATTCCTTCCAGGATTGATGAAGTAGTGTATAAACCCGACTTCTGGCC